TGCTGTTAAGGAGCATAGTACAGGTGTTTCTTGTTTTGATAGGCATGGATTCTGTAAACTAAAAGATTTCTCTACAGAATATATTCTTTTTCTACAATGCATCTGATTTTACTCATATACATGCCCAAGCAAAGGTCCTAGATTGTCAAGTGCATTAAAAAATGGAAAATAGGTGTGTATATAAACCATGCTAAGTCTAGTTCTAGGTTGTTAAAGTATTTGTTCTTTATGTTTGACTAACACAAAACAGACATACACACATAGAGACTCACAAAAAAATATAAGTACTGAAAATGAGGCACTTAATTTTCAGTTCAATTAAATTTAAGCTACAGGTGAGTACTCTTTAAGACAACATAGCTCTAAAATTAAGAGCAGATGCATTTGAGTGGTGCATCATGTAATTCATTCCTTTTACAGTCCAGACATTGAGTTACTGGTTTGAATGAGAATGGCCCTCACAGGCTCATATATTTGAATACTTGGTTTTTAGTTGGTAGAACTGTTTGGGAAGGATTATGAGATATGATCTCATTGGAGGTATGTCATTGGGGGTGAGCTTTGCGTTTTCAACAACTAACAGTTCCCAGGAAGTGAATTCTCTCTTCCTCTCTGCCTTCATGTTTGTAGATCTGATGAAAGATCTCAGATACTTCCACAGCACCATTCCTGCCTGTCTGCTGTCATTGGTCTCACAATCATGGGTTGACCCTCTGAACTTATAAGCCCCAACTAAACACTTTCTTTTACAAGTTGACTTGGTCTTGTTGTCTTAGAACAGAAATAGAAAAGAGACTAAGACACTGGCATACAGACAATCTGAAATTAGACATGTTATTTCCTGGACGGTTCATTAAGAATGAGGAGGCATGACCAGACTGCTAGTAAGACTCTATATCCTTGTCTCTCTAATCATGATATGCAGGTTAATTGCTTTTCCTGTTGATGTGATAAAATACCTTGCTAAAAATGTCTTCAGGAAGGAAGGGTGTCTTTGCACATCTTGGCAGTGAAGGCATAGTGCAGGAGAGTGAGGAAACTGATCACAATACACCTATAATCAGGAAGCAGTGAGAGATGAATGCTGGAGCTCAGCTCACTTTCTCCTGTTTATTCAGTCCCAGACCCCAGGCCATAGAATGGTGCCTCCTATATTTGTAGTTGGTCTTCCTACTTTATTAACCTAATTTAGAAACTCCATCAAAAACACACAAGACATTTCCCTCACGGTGTTTCTGCATCTCATCAAGTTGGTAGTAGAGAGGATCCATCACAGCATGTATGACTAGGGTCTTATTAATAATGCTGTACCACAGCTCTTCTATCCAATAGGCTCTTTATTTTTATTTTTAATTTTTCTTTATTAAGAAATTTTCTACTCACTCTACATACCACCCACAGATCCCACCTCCTCCTTTCTCCCACCCCTCAGCCCTCCCTCCCAAGTCACCCCACATCCCCACATCATCCAAATCAAGGTCACCCATGGGGAGTCAGCAGAACCCAGCACACTGAGCCTAGGCAGGTCCAAGTCCCTTCCCACTGCACCAAGGCTGAATAAGGCGCCACACCACAGGCACTGAATTTCCAAAAGCCTACGCATGCACCAGGGGTGGATCTCAATCCCCCTTCCTGGGTGCCTCCCAAACAGTTTGAGCCAAACAACCATCTTCCATATCCACAGGGCCTAGTCCAGTCCCATGGGGGCTCCACAGCCACTAGTGTACAGTTCATGGGCTTCCACTAGTATGGCCGGTCATCTCTGCACATCTTCGATCATGATCTCGACGACCCCCGCCTGCAGAATCCTTCCTCTCTCTCATTGATTAGATCTTAAATGACAGTATCAAGACCTGGTTCACATGGTGGGACACTGAGGCCATTATGTAGCTTTGCATTAGGTGGTGGTTGAGTTTTCCTAGGGGTTGTAGGTAGTACTGCCATGCTTTCCCCAACATGCATTAAGCATTTCATTCTGCATGCTTAGAATTCCTTAACACATGTCAGGACCCATATACATGACCTTTCTCTTTTATGCTGTGAGGCAGTATGGGTTCTGGAGGTTTCATTATGATTCACAGGTTTCCTTTCCACCCGGAATTATATCATTTCTTAAGTTACTCTCTGGAGTGCTTAGAGACTATTAAAGTGAAAGGTGGTTGGTAATCATGGGAAGTAATTTCTGTACTCAGAAGTGTTTGTACTTCCTGTGCATAGAGACAGCAGACAAACCTGTAGTGGGAGGCAGGAAGATGTGATCGAACTACAAAGTGTAATAAAAACCAGGTGGCTGGCTTTTATTTGGTGTCCATATTCTTCTGCAGGACATATCCCAATTGTAATGATCACAGAAGCATCGTTTTATCATTTTTAATTACCAGTAGCATGTACACAGGGCACTAGTATCAGAACACTGACAGGCACTGAATCTCTTCAGTGATGATATTTATTCTCTTGTGCTTTTTACTTTTAACAAGACAGGTATTTACTAAGCAAAATGTTTTAATCAGAATGGATGGAGTCTAAATTTATAAATGAACTATATTCCTGACAAGAATTCTGTATTCCCAGGGTCATATATTTTCTAAAACTTATTATTTGCATTATAGATATTGCAGGAAATATTTCAACCCATAAGACATCTGTGGCTAAAATCTTTCCAAGTATCACTCTCCTGAGTCAGTTCTCACTGCCACCTATAACCTACAAAATTCTCTCTCTGTCTCTGTCTGTCTGTCTGTCTGTCTCTCTATGTCTGACTCTGTCTCTCTGTCTCTCTCTTTTTCTCTGTCTCTGTCTCTCTGTCTCTGTCTCTGTCTCTGTCTGTCTGTCTCTCTCTCTCTCTCTCACACACACACACACATATGTTCCCATATCTGTGGGTGCAGTTACCTGTGGATATATGTAGGCTAGAGGGGTCAGCCTTAGGTATTTTTCTTGATTTCATTCTCCCTTATTTCTTGAACCAGGTTCCCCTGAACTTAGAACTTACTCTTTCAGATCAGCTGGCATGTCAGTGAGTCCCCCTCCATGTCTCCCATCCCAATGCCAGGCTTCTCACTTGGGTGCAATAGATCTAAACTCCAGTCTTCATGTTTGTGCAGAAGCACTTTCTCCAATGAGTCACTTCCCCAGTCCCATCTAACTATGTATGTAATTGATAATTTTGAGGCATAGGCTTACTGTATTCCCCAATCTGATATTGGAAGCCTGGTTTCAGCAGATCCTCTTTCTTCAGTCTCCCCAGTAGCTAGGCCCGCAGTTCTGATTTGCCATACTTGACTTTGGCTTCTATTTGTTTGACAGGAAACTATCCCTGAGCCTGTTGACAATGAGATCTTTGGGACTACTAACATGATTATTTTTTTATTAGCAAATAGAATTCTGAGATTTGTGGATTCCCAAGACTTTAGGCAGTCAAGTGTTATGGTCTGGGTTGTCATTAGGAATCTTTATTTGGGCCACTACAACCAGGAAACAGACTGTGAAAAGGAGACAGATTGAAATCTAGAAACTCAAAATGTTTGAGATTTCTCATGTGGAGCAGATTTCAGGGAAAAAAAAATAAATATTCCTGTGCTTTTAAGAAAAAAGAAGTACAAAGACATGAATCAAAAAAGTGGCTGAAGCCCTGAGAAAGTGAGGTCACAAAGCAATTGGTCCAACAAGAAGAAAGACCTCTGTGTAGAAGGAAAGATCGGTGTTTGTCTGGGAACAGGGTAAAATAGCAAGCACTATGCTTGGGGGGAATCACAAAAGGAAGATGTGGCAAAGAGAACTATGGGTCTATTAAGCAAGCCTACTGTATCCAACTGGTGAAATCCATTACCCTTAAATAATGGTACAAATCAGAGTTAATTGCTGCAGGGTGATATCTTGGGTTCCTCCTGCAGATAAGGTCAATTTTCTTATATTTATCTAAAATGCATTATGAATAATTCACTCAGAAGAGTTAGCTGTAGAACATGGTTAAAATAAATGGGGAGGGAAACACTGAGTTCAGTAGTAATACCTGTGTATGAGGGTGGGGGTAGAGGTCAGAAGGATATCAGGTTTTATCCTTCATCACACTCCACCTTAGTTTCTGAGACAGTGTATTTTCACTGAACCTGAAACCCAATATTTCCTCTAGACTGTCCAGCAAACTCTGGTGATCCACCCATCTCCAGTCTCCAGCACTGAGATCACAGACTCAAGCTTTCACATGGGTGCTGGATCCAAACTCAGATCCTCCTACTTGCACAGCACATGTTTTACTGACTAAGGCTTTCCTTCCATCCCTAGATCCTGTTTGAAGACACTAATTAGCCCAGTAAGTGAGGAATTTGGTTAATCAGCACAAGAACAATGGAACACCTGCTCTCAGATTACACTGATCCACAGACAGCAAGGAGAGAAAGGTGTCCTAGGTGACATGAGTTAGATGTAAGAAACTGGCCTTCTTCAATTGTCATGGGACTAGCTCCTCACTAGTCTCTCCTAAGCTAAAACATGCATGGGTTCCACCAAATTTACCACATGTCCAGGCTTTCACACAGTGTTATAACCTGTCCTCCTTCCCCATGGCTGAATGTGCCTGTGACTCTGTTGCCTGGCACCATTAGAAAGTATCACACTGAAAGTTGGTAACTGAAGAGGATAATATCAAACTTGAAAATGCTAAGTATGTTTTCTACTGACAGAGCATTGGTTTCTCATGGTTATTATCTTGATCATGGTCCTCACTGCTGTGAAAATATACTAGACAAAGGTCTCAAAGAAGGGTTGATTTTACTGATGTGTGTGTACAGTCTACCATACAGGAAAGGCATAGAAGTCAGAGCATCAGGCAGCTGAGCATATTCCATCAGCTGTCAGGAAGCAGAGAGATGGAAGCTGGTCCTTGGCTTGTTTTCCCCTTTTTATTCAGTCCAGGACCCCATGTCACAGATGGCATGGGCAGATTCAGGCACTGGAAGTCTTCATGTCTCAATGAACCTAATCTAGAAATCCCCTCACAGACACAGAACTGGACACCATGGTGATTCCAAATCCTCTTAACTTGACAATCAAGATTGATCTTTGGGAAAGGAGCCATCAAAAGCTAAGCATCACCTACAGGACTGTTGATGACAGCCAGTGCATGATGGTTGCTACAGACAAAATTCAAGAGCAAATGTATTCTGGCTAATCTGGTCAGGATGAAAGCCACTTTGTCCACCATTTCCTTTGGTTTTCAAATGGAATCCAAAAACGAACTGCTTACAAGCCCGGGCAGAGAATTTGCGGTCTTTGGGAAAAGTGCCAGGTGATGAAGGGATTCTTTCTGTGTTTAGCCTCTTTAATTCATTCTCAGAACTTCCTGGACACCCCTCAAAGGAGCATCCAACTGCTGTTTTGAACCAGATAGAACGTTTCCATGACACATGTATTTCATCTTGTGAATTTTGAAATTCTTTATAGAGGCATTTTATTTTATGGGAAGGAGGTGGCCAAACATGGAGGCAAGGATGTGAATTTTCATAACCACCAAAGTACAAATTTGAGTCCTGTTGTCTGGAGATGGAAAGAGACCATTTATAATACTCTCCTATCTCTGTTTTATTCTCTCTCCCTACATTTGTGTAGGCATGTGTACAAGCATGTGCATGAAAATAGCTTCTTATAAATTTACTAATATAAAGAATGTAATTTACAGGTGATAATAAAGGCATGATGTATATTTGTTTTTCTGTAGACTGCATTAATCCATTTTATGTTCAGTTTGATGTTGTGGCCTATTGTGGTATTTGTGTTTAACATATGATTACAGTTGATGGATGACTATAATGTCACATGCACTATCAGTTGATATTTTCATTCATGTTAATGAGAAAGAAGTAAAAATTTGTGAAGGCTGATATGAAAAGGGCACTTACTTGTCAACGACAACTTGGAATAATCAGATCAGAGTCTTTGAACATTAGGAGACTGTCTCACCGATTCTCTTTGAATTATTGCTGTGTAGTGGGTAACAGGGCACTATGAACACCTGAGTTTTTTAATATTTGTTACTGGCCTTCCTCTATCCCTTTCTCAGGTCAAGAAGACAATGGAACAGTACACTGAGCCTCATTGACAGTGTTTGTCTTTTCTGTGTTGTGAGTACTCTCCCTATAACAGGAGTCACCTACCTACTCAGCTGTGCTTGTACGGGGAGCTGGGCAGAGATACCAGTTGTATCCAGAAGTCTGCTACTTCTGCCATGCTGCACACTTAAAACAGACAGCAAACAATTATAGGGTCCAGTTGCAGCTCAGTGTTAGAACATTTGCCCAGCATGCACCAATCTCTGGGATCCCT